TACTCTTCTTATTCTTTCTCTCCTCCATGTCCCCTTCACTTCGTTTTTCTCCCTTGCACGAAAAATAAAGACGATGCAGAGGTCATGTACTCGAGTTAATGTTTCACCCTCAGATCCTCGCCTGCCATAGACATCCAGTTCTGAGCCCTGAGTGGGTTCTGAGGCTGGTACTCAAGGCCCCCCATAGAAATCTGTGACCCTTCCCCTCCCAAACTGACCACCCCAGGTGGAGTGAACTGCTCATGGTGAGGGAGAGAAGGCAGTTGGCATCCTGAATGGCTTTGAGTAATGGACTTCAACAATTCGTTCAGTCTCCCGTGATAGCTCCTCTTGTCCAGCTGAGTTCCTGATGTCCCGAGGACACAGTTTGACGTGAGAGCCGGAGAATGCTACCAGATGACGCAGATGACTCATATTGTTGACCAGAGGCAAGGACACATCCAAACTTATCAGTGTTGTTTATCTTCATTGCCGAGTGGAGAGAGGAAGGGAAAAAAGTAGGAGAGGGGAAAGGGAAGAGGGAAAGAGGGGAAGGGGAAGGGGAAGGGGGGAGGCTGCTTGTTTGTTTCCCAACCGCTCTGACTCAAAATAATCACACAGAAACTATATTGTTTGCAATACTGTTTGGCCAATTGTAGTGATAAGAGCAGCGGGGCTGCGTCCCCGGCACCCGGCCGCCCGCATGGCTAGCTTATGCCCGAAATAATTACACGGAAACTGTATTCTTTTAAACACTGCCTGGCCGGGCTAGTTCCAGCCTCTTATTGGTTAGCTATTACATATTGTTCTAACCCATTTCTAATATTCTGTGTAGCCCATGAGGTGGCTTACCAGGGAGGATCTTAACCTGTGTCTGTCTGGAGTGGGAGAATCATGGCGACTTCCTGATTCAGCTTCTTTCTCCCAGCATTCTCTTCTGTTTACTCCACCCACCTATGTTCTAACCAATAAAATGGGCCAAGGCAGTTTCTTTATTATCATTAACCAATGTCCTTCCTCCATCAGCCAATAACTTAAGTGTGCTTTTAGCTACCTCTTATAATCTTAAATTAACCCATTTCTATTAATCTGTATATCTCCATGTGGCTGTGGCTTACTGGCAAGATTCCGGTGCATCTGTCTCCTCCGGGGTGTCCATCTCTTCCTGTGCATCCATCTCTGGCGGCAGCTCCATGGCTTCTCCCTGACTCCACCTACTCTATATCTCTTTCAGCCTGGCTTTGCTCTGTTAAGCCATTGGCCCAAAAGCACCTTCTTTATTAACCAATGTCAATAAAAGATATTCACAGTATACATCACCTCCCACATCAGGACCGTTTAGAGTTGGTTTCGGATTTAATCAAAAGCAACCAATAGCAAATTAAATTCTGCTCAGATTTTCAGCTACTACCCCAGCCCTCACCTCAGGATAGGATTCTGACTTATCCAAGCAGACCGAGAAATCTACTAGCAGGGTCTAGGGAGGTTTGCAGACTTGTAGATGCCTTGGGGAAGATCTCACCCTAGGCTACAATAATCCCTGATCAATAGGCATATGGGTATCACCCTTTCAAAGGCACAGTCCAGGAGCACAGTCTCAGGATGCATTCACACTCTGCCCAGCAGAGGTGCCAACTTCCTTCTGAGCCTGCTGTCTGCTCCCTGGGGTTGGGATTTCATAGCAGAGAAAAGCCCCTTGGATACTGCAGCTTGGACTTTCAGACTCAAGGTAATTGATCTTATCCTCAGTGTGCACAAGATGTGATAGGATAGACAACAACTTATCAGTTCAAAGCACTGGCTGCATCTCCAGAGGACCTGGGTTTGAGTCCCACCTTGTATACGTGGCAGTTCTGGTCTGGGGAATCTGATGCCCTCTTGTGGCCTTCATGGGCACTGCATGCACAAACAGCTTGTAGACAGAATATATATACACACACACACACACACACACACACACACACACACACATATATATATATATATATATACTCACCTCCATTGTCTGTGGCAGGTGAGGGATGCATGAGAAAAGAACTGTCTTTGCCTTTGAGGGTGGGGAGGGCAGCTTTTGTCTGGTCTCCTAGAAGCATCTCCTGGGAAACCCCAGAGATTGTAGGAGCCCCTCTCAATGTAAGGTCATCTATTTGGGACTGACAGACTGCTTGGAAGGAGTGGGTATGTCTCTAGGACCGAGTAATCTTGTCTCTGTTCTTAGCTGTACTTACAAATAATCCCCAGTGTTTTCTTCACCAGGCCCAGGCTCCAGGGAAATGTATTTCAGAGGCTCCACCCAGACAGGAACACAGAATTTTAGCTACACTCCACAGCTACCCAAGAGATAAACGTCCCCCCTTATTACTAAACATCTGTGGTACCTGGACTTGGGTCAGGAGTAGGAAGTGGCTAGGATCCTGCCTGTAAGGAGAACTCAGTTCACAACAGGGTAGACATTGTTCTAGAGCAATGGTTCTCACCTTCCCAAAGCTGTGACCCTTTAATACAGTTTTTCATGTGTGCTAGTTTAAATGTAATTGGCCCCCATAAACTCATAAGGAGCGGCACTATTAGAAGGTGTAGCTTTGTTGGAGCAGATATGGCCTTGTCGGATGAAGGGTGTCACTGGGGGCAGACTTTGAGGTTTCCTGTGCTCAGGATATTGCCCTGTGTCTCAGTTGACTTCCTGTTATCTTCTGGTCAGGATACAATGGGCATCATGTCTGCCTGTTCACCTCCATGCTCCCCACAAAGCTCCCTGCCATGATAATAGAATAAACTTCTGAAACTGTAAGCTAGCCACCCCAGTTAAATGTTTTCCTTGTAAGAGTTGCCATGGTCATGGTGTCTCTTCACAGCAATAAAACCCTAACTAAGACTCTTATGCTGTGGTGACCCCCAAAATTAGAATTATTCATAACTAGACTTTTGCTTCTGTTATGAATCATAATGTAAATATCTGATATGTGACTCCTGAAAAAGGGTTGCTCAACTCTGCTGCGGGACAATGGTTTTACCCTGTAGAGATTTGTTTCTTGTACTTGTTTAATAAAACGCTGATTGGCCAGTAGCCAGGCAGGAAGTATAGGCGGGGTGACCAGGCAGGAAGTAGAGGCGGGGTGATGAGAACAGGAGAATTCTGGGAAGAGGAAAGCTCAGTCTACAGTCTTCATGCAGACACGGAGGAAGTCAAATGTGACTGCCTTGCCTAAAATGGTACTAAGCCACGTGGCTAACATAGACAAGAATTATGGGCTAATATAAGTTATAAGAGTTAATAAAATGCCTGAGATAATAGGCCGATCAGTTTATAATTAATGTAGACCTCTGTGTGTTTCCTTGAGACTGAATAACTGCAGGACTGGGTAGAACAGAAATCTCAGTCAACACAACTCCAGAGGAATCACGACCCACAGGTTGAGAACTACTGTTCTAGATCCACCTAAATACCACTTGCATCTGCTCAGCCCACTTGCCTTGTTTCCTGAACAGAGTGACAAAGCCACCTGTCAGCACAGTGGCAGCTCTCACTAGCTGAGGTGCCCATACGGTGGTTGGCTAAGAGACACTGTGCTCCTGTCTGATGGCTGGCCCGAATCAGACCTTCTGAGGTTCATCTGCTCTGTGTGGCCAAGAAACAACCCCAGTGTGGGAAACTTAATGTTCAGGAGAGGTACCTTCTTATTAGGACACTAATCCCACCAGGGACCCCTCGCTATCTCCCGCCCTTGGTCTTTATCTGCAAACATCTGTGCCAGCCAGCTTTCTGTTATTGTGAGAAACGCCTGACATAAATCAGCTTGAAGAGAGAAAAGCTTGGTTCGTGGTTATGGAGTTTCCAATGCATGATGGACTAGTCCCATTGCTATCCCATTGCTACCCCATTGCTATGGGGCTTTGGTGACAATCATGGCAGGAATGTGTGGCAGAGCAGCATGTTCAGTTGATGGCTGAGAACAAAAGGGAAAGAGAGCCGGGGTACCACAGTCCTTGGAGGACAGGCCTCTCCTCCCCTCCACGAACCGAGACCACCTGCCTCTTCACATTTCTACCGCCTTCCAATAGTGCCAAACTGGAGACCAAGCCTGCAACCTCTGGGTGTGTGTAGGGGGGGAGCATTCAGCTCTGCCTTAGGTCACCCTATTGGAGGTAAGGGCCTCAGTGTAGATCTACCTGGGAGTCATGGCAGAGTCCACAGGACCCTCTTACCCTCCATTGGCTCTCTGCTTCCCTACCCGTGACTACTCCCTCTTTCCCGGCATCATATTCTTTGAGAAGGCTTTGCCCCAGATCTTTCCTGTAAGGAACCTGGGCTAAGCTAGGCCCGTGATCCAGTAACGACATGGGCACAAGACACAGAACCAACAACAGCCAGAAAGGGATTCTCGGGGAAAGCAAGGGAAGCCTCACGAAGAGGGACGAGTGGGAGGGCCTGGAAGGAAGACTTCACCCCGGCAGCATCACTCTAGGTGCTGGGAGAACTGCTCCGAGCACAGCACTAAAACCTCCCCTAGTGGAGCTTACACTCATGTGGGTGCCGTCCAATCACAGAAAGACTGGGTGGGGCTGGGGAGATGGCTCAGTGGTGAAGAGCGTGCAGGGATTAGGGTTCAGTCCCCACACCCACATCAGGCGGCCAACAACTACCTGTAACTCCAGTTCCAGGAATCCAACACCTTCGACTGACCTCCATGTATGTGGGTCATATACATGCAGGCAGGCACACACACAAACACACACACACACACACACACAGAGTTTTTGATAGATGCATGGCTTGACACGTAGGGGTTGGAGCATGAAGGATGCTAACACTGGGCAGGAAGATAAGGAGGACTGAATGGGAAGTCTGACCAGGAAGGCCAGTGACCAGAGGGACAGATGTGGAAGGGAGGAGGAGGAGGGAGGGTGAGGGGCCTCCAGGTGCCATGGAGTTCACAGCGTGTGTACAGGCATGAAAAAGTCATCTGTGCTCTGGGCACTCCCTGGCAGTCCAGAGGGCTGGAGACAAGAAAAGCTGGAAAGGGATTTGGCCTCAGAGGGCCTCCAAGGTCAGGTTAGGGCTGGAAATTTCTTTCCTTCTCCTCCTTCCCCATCACTTTCCATCCTCTCTCCCTGCTTCCTCTTCCTCTCATCTCCTCCCGCCCCACCCCATTACCTCCTGTGAACCAGAGACTGTACCAGGCTCTGGTGTGTAAACCTGAGTGAGACTTTGTCCCTGCCCTCAAAAGCGGCTTATAATGTATGATCATTCTAACACGTGGCAGGAACAATACCGGGACCGTCAGTCTGGGGCCTCTGCAGGGCTCCCAGGAAGAGGCTATGGTTTGAGCACCAGCCTGTGGGGCAGAGGACGTGTGACTGTATGACGGAGAGGCCATGAGAACTGTGAGCAGGCTCAGGAGGAGGGCTGGTGGAGGAGTGAGGGGGGAGGGTTGGGCTGTGATCAGAGAGACACTGGTGCTTTTAGGAGGCCACGTTGAAGCCAGGAACAATTCCTGCGACCGTCAAGGACTGTGGCCAGCTGCAGAGAGCCGCATGCTAGGCTGGGACTGCAGCCAAGCCTGTGGCCACTTATTAGTGACTGATTATAGCTTAAGCAAGAGGGCAACTCTGTTCTGTTCCATTCCTATGGGACAGCTCTGGCCAAGAGTCTGTCTGACAGATCCAAACAGCCAAGGGATGAGAGGAAAGCCCCAGTGTGAGGCTTCCATGTGGGTAGCAGGAAGACCACAAGAGAAGTGTTAAGCACCGGGTCAGAGTGGGGGGACAAGATCTTCTTTCCCTCTCCCCTGACAAGGTGCAGGGGACCCAGAGAGAGAACTGGTACCAGGTTAGGAAGGCAGACTGGTGAGCAAGTGACCAGCTTGTGGGGTAACTCCTGAATACAGTCCCTTTGACACTTAGCACCCTGGCTATACACCTCAGCTGGGGAGACCCACCAGGTAGAATGTTAGTAACTCTTTTAGTCTAGATCATGTATGTGGCTGGGATTAGAGACAGCTCCTCCCCTACAATAATGGCTGACATTTACCTTGCACTTTCTGTGTACTAGGTGGTCAGGTGGAAGCCTCACTCCAGCCCCTGGCATTCATATAGCCAGAGTCTGGAATGTTCCTGTGGAAGTTCCACTCCAAGCCCCCTCCCAATCTCTCTAAATCCTGTTGTATCTCAGAAAGGCTGCCAAGCGATGACCCCTCCAGTGAGAGATGCTCAAGATCTCTTCCATGGGGTATTTAAACTGCTCCCTAGAAAGCAGACATGTGTTTTTCCGGTCTTCCTATCCTGTCTCTTCTCTGCGGGGGCTGAAAAAGTCATTCAGGAACATTGTGTCCATTAAACCTGGACTTTTTCTAATCGGGTCTAATTTGGTCTGATTTGGATTGTTGTCGGTGAAGAGGCTTATTGGGGTGCAGAAAGGTGGAGGGGCTTTTTCGGGTGCAGAGACTTTTTACTAGGTGCTGTTCCAAGCTGGTTGCATGCTTCCATCCTCACCAAACCTTTGAGCATACATTTTGAAATACCGAGTGAGCACCAACATCAACTCACAAGAGCCCACACAGGGATCCCACCATAGGCATTGGCTAAAATGGTTGCCCACATTTTATAGGTGAGAAGCCTGAGGCACAGAGTCATGAAGGGATGCAGCTATGTGGTTGGTTTGTCACTGACAGAGCTGTGCCATTATCCTGTGGGAGACAGTGTCTAGGTAACAGCGATGCGGCCAGACCTAGGCACAAGGCTGTGACATCAGAAGAGCTAGCAAAGTACTTCATCCCTCTTACTGCCCATTAGAAAACCTATAACACTTATGCCAGTAGCAACAACAGTGCCTGCCCATTGGCTTTCGAGGAGGCTCAGCAAGCTGATTTATGCCCAGGGCTCCCTACAAGATAAAGTATGTACTTTCCTTGTCCAGGGCCTTCATCATTGGCTCTCCTGCCTGCCATTGTCCTGCAGGTTTGTGACATGGTGTCCTAGTTAGTGTCTCTGTTGCTGTGCTAAACACCACGACTATAACAGGCAGAAAGGAGAACAAGAAAAAGCTAAGTAATAAGGAATGAGAAAGAACCAAACGCAGGCAATGGCCACGGGAATTACAGGCGTGACTTTGTCAATGGACATGAGTTACGAAAGATGATATAAAACAATTGTTCTCCGAGTTCTACTTCTGCCATGGATTTTTCACTTTTGGTGGTGGATAAGAATAAATTCTACAGTGTAAAATCCACTGTGAAGCCACAAAGCCTCTAAATGGCTCTTTCTACTGTACAAAAGTTTATTGAGATATATAGACTTTGGATCTGATTAATTTTGGTGTGTGGCCGGGCGGTGGTGGCGCACGCCTTTAATCCCAGTACTCGGGAGGCAGAGGCAGGCGGATCTCTGTGAGTTCTAGGCCAGCCTGGTCTACAAGAGCTAGTTCCAGGACAGGCTCCAAAACCACAAAGAAACCCTGTCTCGAAAAACCAAAAAAATAAAAATAAAAAAAAATTTTGGTGTGTGATTTTTTTTATCTTCAAGTTTTTACTTATAATAGAGTTCATTAAAAAACTGAAAAACTATAACCAAGACAAGCAATAGATTAGTTTATTTGGGCTTACAGTTCCAGAGGGATGAGAGTCTGTCATGGCAGGGAAGATGGTAGCCAGCAGCAGGCATGGTCACAGGAGCAGGAAACTGAGACAAGCAAACAGGAAGGAGGGTTCCCCTACTCCCCCCCCCCCTACTACAAGAGTACAACCAACTGGGAACCAAATGCCTGAATTTGTGGGCACATTTCTCATTCAAATCCCTATATACAGTAAAACCAGCATGCATCCTGACCTGATGCAGAGGTGGTTCGAATCCCAGAATCTCAGGCTGCTCTTACTAACCTGACACAGAGGTGGTTTGAATCCCAGAATCCCGGACTGCTCTTACTAACGGTGTGAATTTTGTGGCTTTGTGGCCCAGTTTCCTCATCTGCTAACCGAGGTTGAAGATGGCCGTCTGTAGGAGCTGGACCAACTGAGATGAGCTGTGTGGCCACTGAAGAGGCTTGCTGAGTGCTGGCCTGTGAAAGGAGGGGGACAGGATGTGGGGGATGTGATTTCAGGCGTGGGGTGAGGCTGGCTTGGGCCCTGCCCTTGGGCTCTCTAAACTGCTTCTCTGCTCAACCTTCCTCCCTGACTCCTGGTCCTCCCACCTGTCAGGGCTCTGCGAATGAGTTCCCAGAAAGATTCAGCACCTTCCACCGAATCTTGTATTTAAGTGACTAAGACTTTAATGATAACGGAGAGGTTGGAATATTGCCGGTCCAGAGCTCAATTATGATTATCTTTAGCTCATAAATAGCCATTCCTTCTCCACCCCCTGCGTCTTGCCTAACATCCTGTGATTAGCAGATAAACCTTTGGGAATGTATTAATAACACCCAACTTCCCACTAAACCCAGGACTAAGAAAGAACACCATCAATGGTGTCCAAGGTTCCCAGGCGTTGCTGTAACCCCTACCAATGTATTGACAAGTGCTTTACTTCCTCATTTTCTTTGTTCTGTCACCATAGAAACATGACCAGTTACAACACTGGAACACAGGATTTGGGGTATTTGAGTCTGTGTTCCTGGACCATGGCCACTCAGCGTGGGCTCCAGAGCAAACTCATATTCCCTTGGAGGTGAGAGCTGGACTTTTGCATCGACAATTATGGTGCTGCAATGTGGGTGTTCTAGAAGGGTCTCCTGAATGAAAGAGAAGCAGCTAGACCCACTAAGTCCAAGCCTTACGCCCTTATCCTCTCAGGTAGGGTTTTTTTTTTTAAATCTATTTTGTTTGTTTGCTTTCAAAGAATCTAGTTTCTGATATTTGACTTGTTTTTGTTTGCTTTCTGACCTCTGAGGGCATTTTGAGCTATTCAGCATGTTAGCAATCTCTTTTAGTTCTTTTCTTCCCTCTAGACATTTCTCCATATATAATATAAGGGCAGGGAAATTTTTTTTTTTTTTGGTTTTAATAGATGTATGGTCCCTCACTTGGTTCTCTGTTTAACTGGTGTGTCAATTTCATTTGCAAGTGTTAAAAAAAATGGAAAAAAACCCTGAAGATAGGTTGACTTGTGTCTCCTTCAATGGGGAGCATTTATTACTTCTAAACTGGTTTATTCTGAGCACTTAACAAAAAGTTCTAGGGAATCATTTTTGTTAAATCACATATGGGCAGCCTGCTTTAATTGGCATGTAAATCAATTAAAAACAGTAGAATTGGTAATTTATAAAAATAACCGCTCTACTATATAACAAGGAGATACTGAAAATCAATACGGGGAGCTGGAGAGCAGGCGCAGCGATTAAGAGCATGGCTGCTCTTGCCGAGGACCCCATTCAGTTCCCAGCACCTCCACCTGGCAGCTCCTAAGCACCTGTAACTCCAGTTCCAGAGCGTCTGATGCTCTCTTCTGGTATACACACATAAGTAGACATGTACATAAATTTAAATAAGTAAAACACAAGTAGAATAAATCAAATAAAAATAAATACAAAATTTGTTTAAAAAAATTTAAGAGGCTGTATCAGAACTTGTAGTGAGAAACTCCACAGAGCCATTGTATCTGGCTCAAATTCCGAGTGATGGAATCTAGGGTTCGAAGGAACCTTTGTAAATGTCAGTGATTGTTACCTGAGGTTTATGGAGTTTATGTCAGTGATTGTTATCTGAGGTTTATGGCGTTGCTCTTCCTGCAGGATTCCCGGAGCCTTTGCATACCTTAGTCTGGAGACATACCTGGAAAACCAGGAAGTCCCATATGGCTGAGAATTGCTTAGGTCGTGATTCCTTCAGACAACTCCTAGATCAGATAAGAGGTTTTGGAATATGGAAATTGATTTGCTAAAATGCTTCTGCAGAGGTTCAGGGTTCGGTCCATCAGAGACGGTCCCACCCTACCCCTGTTGTTAAGCTGTTGAGTGTCCTAAAGTATCTCTCTCGGACAGACTGACTAAGAACACTAACAAGCTAGAGATAAGGTCTGAGAATTACTTTCTCCTCCTCTGACCGCCTCACTTCTTTCTTTCTCTAATGGGGTGAAATCCCACGTGACTCATGAGCCTTTGCTTCTGTTCTTCTAGCCAGAGACCCCACTTTTTGTTTGCTAGGTGCCATTAGCAGAAAAAAAGAATTCTCTGGACTCATCCTTGTCTATTCCAGGGTTGGATGGACCTAATAGTTTTTCTGGGGGTATCACCACAAGAGCTGATCCCCTCGATTCCCCAAGACCGACTCTTGGTTGAGACGCAGTGGAGAGCTACTTCCCCAAGCAGACATTCTGGATCCAAAGCAACACACAGGGAATTACTGCCTCCGCTGCCTCTGAATTGCTCTCAAAAGCACTCTCCGTGTCTTTGTTTTTCTGCCCCTGTCCCCAGCCTTCTAGAAACCGGCTACCCGGCCAGCTTCCTGCTCTGGTGAAGCTTTTAAGGTCTAAAGAGATTAATTTAAACTCTGTGTGTTCCATGTTTGTGAGAGGTGAAAAGCAACAGCAGCTGATATGTATAATGTATGTGTATGTATGTATGTATGTATGTATGTATGTATGTATGTATGTATATGCATGCACTTTCCTAGTCTCTCTAAACGTGACACCAGGCAGAAGCATTTCTGACCCAAGGGCTAAAGGGAAAAGGAGCCCCTGGGTATGGACTGCTGAAGCATGCACGGGCAGGCCATATATGGCGCTTCTGTGGAACTTGCACGTATTGGCTTTTCAGGGTCTAAGTTGACGAGGGCAATTGACCAAGTCTCTTCCTCCCCCTGAGTATAGTAAGGACCAAATTGCTGGGTAGATGACCGTGTGGGACAGGCGCGTTGCTGGGTCCAGGAAGGGAATTACATCCCAGAGTGACACCGAGCGGCAGGTGGTGCCTGGTCCAAGGATCTGTAGTGCCTTCATTTCTTCTTCTTCCTTTTCCTTTTCTTTTAGATATGAAAGCAAGTATTGGAAACATAATTTAGCCTCATTTAAAGAATAAAATAAAACCAAAATCCTTGGCCTAAAGCAACACTGAGAAAACCATTTTTTCCTCAGAAAATATACTGTCCCTTCAGCTATTTAGCTTTAAAAGGAGGAAGAGATGTTGACCTTACTTCTGCTTGACCGACTTCAGCTTTCGGTTTTTTTTTGTTACTGAGCTTTTTTTTACATCAGACAAAGATGGGGCTGGAAACCTTCTGCCGTCTCCAGGGTGAACCTGGGTCTTAGATCCTTGAGTCTATGGTAAGTTTCTCATGTGTTGTTTGTGGAAACGGTGCAACAAATTGTGACCACTTCTTTTTTTTTTTTTCCATTCAGTTTTTAAAAATATATTTTATGTGCATTGGTGTTTTGTCTTGGTGTTGGGTCCTATGGAACTGGAATTACAGACAGCTGTGAGCTACCGTGTGCGTGCTAGGAACTGAACCTGGGTCATCTGGAAGAGCAGTGGTCTTGACTGTTAAGCTGTCTCTTCAACCCTTCTTTTCATTTTCTTATTGCATCCAAAATTATTATTATTTTATTTCAAAGACTGAGGATGACTTGTTTCTGTGCTTTTAAATATGTGGAGTGTGTGTGTGTGTGTGTGTGTATCGAGCATTTTAAGGCTAATTTTGTGTCGATTGCGTTGGGTGGGTTACTCAGTCTAGGGGTTTGTAACCCACCCTGCAATCAGTTATTCCAGGGTCATGGAGGGGCGCTACCTGGAAGGGAATGAGCTAAGACAGAAGAAGGAGGCCAAGCAGATTTGTCAAAGCCTCCATTTATTACAGTCATGGTTGCTGCTTATATAGGCCCGGGATGAGGACTTTGAGGGGCAGGGAAACTGGATTCTTGCCGCGTGTTCCAGGTCACGTAGGCCAGGAGGTCATGAGTTGCCACACCTGTTGCCACACCTTGTTCCCTGGATAGCTGGAATGTGAGGCGGGTTCTGCTAACAGATAGCTCGTTAATTGGGTGAGGGGCAGAGGTTCTCAATAGAACATAATTATGGGTGTGGGGTTCTCTGCAGACTCCCCAGGATGATGGTTCCTGTAATGATTTTTAGGGGGGAAATGGCTCCTGACAATTTTGTTCACTTCTGACTCTCAAAAAGTCATTTAAAAGAACCTGTTTGAGGCTTATGAGGACATACGGTTGACAGATAATCTTAATGTGTTCTGGTATTTTATCCGTACAGATCTGTGCACCACACGTACTCCTGGTGTGCCTGGAGGCCAGAAGAAGGTGTCAGATGCCTTGGGACTAGTGTTATGGACAGTATGAGCCAACATACGGGTGCTGGGAATCGAACCCTGGTCTTGTGGAAGAGCCGCCAATGTTCTTCTTAACCACTGAGCTATCTCTCCAGGCCTTCAAAATATGCTTTTTTCCCAATGTAACATTTTTATTGATTCTCTGATAATTTTACATCATGGACCCGGATCATATTGACTTCCCAGTCCTTCCTTGTCCACCTCCCCATTGTTGTGACCTCACCCCTGCAAAAAAGTAAAAATAAAAACAAGAATTTTTTAAAAAGTCTCATTGACTCCCCATGGGAAGTCTTTGTTTAGGTGGAAGCCCTACTGATGTCTGTATCTATCCAAAAAGTTTGGGATGTGTGAAACCTCCAGTTTGGGTTTGTTCCAAACCCAGCCCTCAGGGTGACATCAGCAGCCACTCCCTTGGAGTTGCCTCAGTCTAGGCTCCACCCCTGGGGGACATTACTCCGCCCATGAGAAAGCCTGCCATTGGTGGCTCCACCTCCAGAGGGCATTAAAAGGCCCCAGCTAATGGGTTCCCGTCAGGGTCCTCTCAACTTCCCCTGGAGCCGCCCAGGAATGCTTTGCTCAGAATAAACCTGGATTTATTAATTTGGTTTGGCTGGTTTATTATATCAGTGGCGGCAGAGTCCTATTAACCAGGGATTCAAAACTTCACAGTCTTACCCTCTCTGAGGAGTTGGGGGGCGGGGTAACAGGAAGGTGTAGGGAGGAGGAGGGGAGGGTGAGCTGGGATTAGTATGTTAAAAAAAAAAAAAGCCCAGTTTGTGTTATCTATATACTCAGTGGAGCGTGGTCAAACTCTCAGTGACCTGTCCCTTAAAGAGAGCTGACTCCTCCCCTGCCCCCAGAAGTCTTCAGTTATGGAGAGCCACACTTCATATTCCCATCTCACTTTTTATTTATTTATTTTGTTTTTCGGGACAGGGTTTCTCTGTAGCTTTGGGGGCCTGTCTTGGAACGAGCTCTTGTAGACTAGGGTGGTCTCAAACTCAGAGAGATCCGCCTGCCTCTGCTTCCCCAGTGCTGGGATTAAAGGCATGTGAGTTCTCTTTGATGACTTCCTGCTTAGGCTGTTACTTTTGGGGGGGGATGGGTTAGAGGCCATCACAACAGCCTTCCGTGTCCCCCCCCACTGTGCATCTGACGTCATCGATATCACAGTAAAAGCAGCTTGACTTCCCCTCACGCTCAGCGGGAGCACCCATCATGGGCCTCCACATGGTTTCTGGCTATAGCACAGACTACGAACATGGTCGCTCCCCTGTCTGCAGTGGGACCATGAACACAGACGAGGCCCTTGGCGGTAGTCCAGACCATGGCCATTAACATGGCCTCAGGTAGCAAGCAGTGCATGCCACTTACATCAATATGGCTCTCAAAATATTCTTAATAGGAAACTGTTAGTAAGTATTTAGGTTAAGGCCACACTACAACCCCTGGCATCCATATATTCAAAGAGTCTGAAATGTTCAGGTGGGAAGTTCCATCCCAAGCCCCTTTCCCTGGGAGTTGCCTCAGTCCAGACTCTACTCTGAGAAAGCCTGTCAAATGATGACCCCTTCCCAGAGATGCTAAAAACCACTCCCACAGGGTATTTAAATTGTTCTCCAGAGAACAAACACATGTTTTTCCAGTCTTCCTTTCCTGTCTCTTCTCTGGGGGGCTGGAAGGCCACCCAGGAGCACTGGTATCCATTAAACCTGGACTTTTTCTAATTTTGGTCTGATTTGGACTATTGCATTGGTGGAGAGTCTTCTGGGGCACAAAAACCTTTCATCTGGAGGTTCCACCGAGGGATAGTTTTTCTCCAGGCCCATGCCCACGTGGTAAGAAAACACCTTCTTTTGCACCTGCTCTCCAGCTCGGGTAAGTTCTGAGTTCCAGTCATTGCCTTAAAGGCCCAGGCCTCATGCAATTCTTGGGCTGTTCTGTGGAAGATGTGGCCGTGCCAGGCACCCAACCTGACCGGGACGAGGACCTGCCTTTTTCAGGAGATGTCCTGCTCTAGGTATTTCTCACACCCCTCTGTTATTTTGACCCAAAGTTTATCACAATGGACGCATTGCACTAGGCTATGGGTCCTGGCAGAAACTTGCTAAATGGGTACCTACAATTCGAGGTCTGATCTCCAAACACCCTTGGGTTGCCGTTTACAAAAACTTTTTAAATTGGTGCTATCTGACACTTGTACATCCTTGATGCCTAAAAATTTTTGCCAGCATGGAAACAGGTAAGCAAACCCCGAAATGCCCATGGTTTCTGGATACTGTGCTCCCGCTCCCCCTCCCCCTCCCCACTTCTCTTGCTGTTTGCTGTTTGTCTGCATTCCTGGCCTGTGATCTGGTTACCCTGGGATTCTCCCTACAACGGATCCCTTCCTCCTGTCCTTCCACTCTGAGATGCATAGGTGTTCCATCCCTGTGTTTCTGTTCTCACAGCATCTACTGATCTGGCCCTGAATGGGATCACCTCTGTGCTCACCTGGCTTCAGCAGCCTACTCCAAAATGTTTAAGTTGGTCAGCTGACACAGGTTCCTAAAAAAAGTTTTGTTCATCTGTCTGTTAATATATATGTGTAGATAATGTGGCCACAGTCTGCTTGTTTTATGTCTGTGTGTGTATGTGTGTTTGTTTTAAAACCTGCAAAATTTGTAGTTCCAGGTTATTACAACAGCTCTACTAGAGAGATATCAACATGGGGATAGGTGCCAGTTTTTGGTTGAGGTCAAAACAAAAACCTCAGTGCCTTCTTTGGTAAGCTGGACCTACCAAGGAGACCTCCAATATACTTAGGTTTATTTGGATATACCTGACAGGTAATGGTACCCTGATTCTCAAGTGCCTTTACAGATCTGAGAGTATGACATTTAACAAAAGACCTTCTTAGGCCAGAGACAGGCCTGTTCCTGCAACATCCTATAGCTCCTCTAAGAAGACGCATGATTGCAGAAGACATTTTTGTCTGGAGGCTTGCCTTTGAATATGACAAAGCCACCCACACAGCGAAAAGCTGCCTTCCACCTCATCACCTTCCTGAACACTACCCCAGGGGATTGATCATCTCATCCTGCCAAGACAGGTAGACTGAACTTTACCCCCACAGGAAAATCTTCAAGCCTCCTGAGCTCAGCAGCTAAAGGCAAGCACTGCTTCTAAGACTGGTGTTCACCAAAGACCACAGAGAGACTTGGGATTGCCTGCACAGCTGGCAAAAGCTGTCTCTCTTCTGCTCATTTATCCCGCCCAGATCTGTCTGATGGCATTTGATAACTTAAGGTACTGGTAGCTCATTACTTCATTTGCTAAGTTTCCTGCTAAAAATACAGACAGGTGTGCCTCTTTCGCAGGCTTCATAGTCCAGGATTAACAGGTTTCAGATGTAATTTCAGAGTTTCAGAGTTTCCACTTTCTTTTAATTGTCTTCTAAAATGTTCGTGCCTTTTAACAGAGTCTTTTGCTATGACACCAAGATGTAAATCTGTTCCAGTTGTCTTACAGATACCGGTAGGTTCCTGAGAAAAGTTCTGCTGCTGTATCAAGAAATCTGGTCCGGTGAAAACAGTCTCCAGAGCCTACTTTGACCCCTCCCTATTTTCAAGCATATTTTACAGGTCACTCCTGTGGGCCAAGACAAACCTGCAGAGGGTTCTCCAAATAACACCAGCACCTACTGGGGCTTCACCACTGGTACCACCTCTCCAGGCTCAAACAGGCACCTACCCAACAACTAAAGGACGCATTTGTTATCCTCTCATTCTCCCTCGCCTCTCCTGTACAACCGGGGCACTTCTCTTGCCATTCTCTCCGGCTGTTGATGACCCTTCCCATGGCTAGCCCCGTTCAGAGGGCTGATAATCACATTCTATTTTGTTTCCTAGCAACCTGCCTTCTTAGTTCTCCCAAGAAACAGATGCCTAAGGTCTCCAGGATGGCAGTTAACCGGATGCCTCTCCAGCCACACTGGAGCATGAGCCCAGCAACTCCCAGCTCTCCTCACGCCGTTGTCCCATGCCTGCAGGAAGTAGCCAGACTTGAGCCGGTGCCCCTATACCCAAAGAATCTGGAATGTTTGGGTTGAGGCCACACCACAGACATTGGCATCCATATGTCCAAAGAGTCTAGAATGTTCAGGTGGGAAGTTCCATCCCAAGCCCTCTCCCCTGGGAGTCATCAGTCCAGAGACTCTACTCTGAGAAAGCCTGCCAAACGATGACCCTGCCCCAGAGATGCTAAAACTTTTCAGAAAGGTTTCTGTTAAAGCTGGACTACATGTAAAACAGTGGATATGTTATGCCCAAGGTCCAGACCCCCAAAGACCACCAAGAGACCAGATCCGATGCAAAAGCAAAGAGTCTTTTTAATTACAAGTTTGAACTCGATCCCTTGTCTGTCTAATGCAGCCGTGGAGCAGAAGGGACCTCGAGCTGCAGTGGGGCAGGGCATTTATTGGGGGTAGAGCGGGAGGGGGGCTGGGGGTCTGCAAGTTGCATAGTCACAGTCTCAGGATTGGCAACCTCTGGACTGGGGGGCACCTGTCCTAAGTTGATTGGTTAACTACCACGACAGGTAAATTGCTACATCCGATGGTGTTTGCTGTGGTTTCTGCATTCCTTCCTTATCAGCACAGTATGTCCAGAGCCTGCTAGCCTAGCCTCTGATTGGTTCTTTACCATATGGGGTGTATCTTGTGGCCTTTTTAGTGACTAGGGCAAAGTTGGGTAAGGTCAGGGGGCACAGCACATCCTGCTGAGTCATGGCCTACGTCCTGCTGGGTCTTTCCTGCAGCCTGTCATGGCTGCAGAATTGTCAAATGAGGGCCTGGGTGACAGCCTGGGCCCTTCAGATGTAGCTCATTAGCTGTCTGTCAGTCACAAGGTGTTAGCTCATTAGCTGTCAGTCACAAGATGTCTGTAACAGGATGTTAGACATGTGAGGCATGGTCATTCAGGGGGCTAAAGTTAGCCCAAGACGATTGCAAGTAGGCTCTGACCTGCCTGACCTGCAGCGTTCCAAGGGCTTCACAACTCTCATCTGTTAATCAGCCTTCCAGCAGGTTCAGTGGTCTCCAGTGATGTACGCCCTCCAACAAGGCCACACTTAGAAGTTTTGTCTGAAACATAGAATGCACATACATGGTATCTCAAATATTTAACACTTATAAATATATGCAAAAGACATTAGTAGTCTCGTTTATATTTGTGGTGAGTATGTTAATAATTTAACAAGTATTTTACCTCAACTGTTTTAAAATAAGATTTATTTATTTTTATTACATGTGGGTGTTTGTCCGCATACAAGTCTGGTGTAGGCATAGGCCAGAAGAGAGAATTAGGGTCCCTGAGACTGGAGTTAGAGGCAGTTTGTGAACTACCCCTGTGGACTGGCCCACATCAGTTTTCAGCAAGCCCAAGGCTCACAGTCATTTAAAGTATATGGTGGTCAGCAGCTGATGCTTGGATGTGCCTGTCAGCCAAGCGGAAATCTGCTGACTCAGATACAGACTAGGGGCAGAAGCTAAGACTTA